CTGAGCTATATCCCCAGCAACCCTCTTTATTTCTGATACAGGATCTTGCTAAATTATTTTGGGCTGGGCTGTCACTTGTGATCCTCCTGCCTCAGCCTCCCAACTACGTGTGATTACAGATATACACCACTATATGTGGCCCATTTTCACCATTTCCAAGTGCACAGTTTAGTAACGTTGTCTATATTTATTTTGTCTTTCGAGGGGGGGTTTTTCTTGTGTTGCTCAGACTGGTGTGTAATTCATGTGCTCATCAGCTAGTCCTCCCACCTCAGCCTCCTGGGCAGCTGGGTAACCACTATATTCACATTGTTACCAACCAGAGCTTTTCATATTGTAACACTGAAACCCCATACCCACTGAACAAGTCTCTGTCTCATCCCTGCCAGCCTAGGGACCCACAGTCTACTTTCAGTTTCTGTGAGTGTGACTGCTTTAGACAACATCCTGCAGAGGTGAAATCATGTATTATTTATTTTGTCATGACTGGCTTATTCCCTTCACATCCTAAGGTTCATCCATGTTGTGGTGTGTGACAGAATTGTCTTCTAAGACTGGGTAACATGGCATTGTGTGTGTGTTTGTGTGCACATTTTGTTTATGCGTTCATTCACCAGTGGATAAACAACCTGAGTGGCTTCCACCTCTTGGCTCCCGTGAACACAGATGTGTACCTAGTTCTTTGATGTCCACCTTGAGTCCCATTGGATGTTTAGGCCCAGAAGTGGGGTTGCTGTGTGATCTGCTAATTCTGTGTCAGTGTTTTGAGGAACCCCGAGTCTGTTCTCTATAGTGTCTATACTTGTACCCCTCCCTGCTGTGGTACATCAGCTTTCAGCTTCTCCCATCCTCACCAATGTGGTCATGTTCTAGGTGTGTTTTGTTTTCAGTACTGGGGATTGAACCTAGGGCTTTTGTTTATTTATTTATTCTTGGTACCAGGAATCAAACTCAGGACCTTGTGCTTGCCAAACAGGCGCTTGTGCCACTGAGCTACATCCCTGGCAGAACATAGGGCTTTTGCACTGAGTTACAGCTCTAGGTCTTTTTTATTTTGAGACAAGGCCTAATTAAATTGCTGAGGCTGGCTGGGCATGGTAGCGCATGCCTATAATCCCAGCACTCCAGAGGCTGAGGCAGCAGGATCATTGTGAGTTCGAGACCAGCCTAGGCTACATAAGTGAGCTCAAAGCCAGCCTGAACTGCATAGCGAGACCCTGTCTCAAAAAGACATACATACATACATACATACATACATACATACAAACATAAATAAATAAATAAAGAGATAAAGAGCTGAGGCTGCCCTTGAATTTATGATCCTCCTGCCTCTGCTTTTGTTATAGCTGGGATTATAGGGATATACCACCATACCTTGCTTTTCGCTTGCTGATTTTATTTATTTTTATCTGTTTGTCTCTCCATCTGTCCATCCATCCATCCATCCATCCATCCATCTATCCACCTATCCATCTATCACCCATCTACTCACCTATCCATCCATTCCATTCATTTGAGACAGGGTCTTGCTTTTAGTTTAGGTAGGCTTTGAACTCAACTGTGTAGTCCAGGCTGGCCTTGAACCTTAGGCAATCCTTCAGCCTCAGCTTCCCAAATGCTGGCACATGGTGTGCCTCCACATGCCCGGCTTGTTTTGTTTTGTTTTGTTTTGTTTGTCTTTTTGAGACAGGGTCTCTCTGTGCAGTTCAGGCCAGCTGTGAGCTCACTTTGCAGCCCAGGCTGGTCTTCAACTCACAACGATCCTCCTGTCTCACCCTCTCGAGTGCTGGAATTATAGGCATGTGCCACCATGCCCGGCTTTTATTTTGGGTTTTTTGTTTGTTTGTTGTTGTTGTTGTTGTTTTTGCTGGCTTGTTTGTTTTGATACTAGTCATGAGAAGGGTTGTGAGGTCACATCACTGTAGTTTCACTTCTGCTTATCTACTGATGATTGATAGTGAGCATCTTGTCATATATTTGCTGGCCATTTGCATGTCTTTTTTGGAGAAATGTCTATTTAAGTCCTTTGCCTATTTTTTTTTTTTTTTTTTTTGAGACAGGGTCTCAGTATGTAACAGTTCAGGCTGGTCTTAAACTCACTGTGTAACCAAGAATGACCTCAAATTTGCAGCGATCTTCCTGCTTCAGCCTCCTGAGCTCTGGGATTATAGGCATGTGCCACCACACCTGGCACTTTTTCTATTTTTTAGTTCGTCTGTTTTGTTTGCTGTTGCCAAGTAGTAGGAATTTGAATATATATACTGGGTGTCAGTCCCAACTTTTTTTTTTTTTTTTTTTGTCTTTTTGAGACACTATATACTTCAGGCTGGCCTTGAGCTCACTTTGTAGCGCAGGCTGGCCTTAAACTCCCAACCATCCTCCTGCCTCAGCCTCCTAAGTGCTGGGATTACAGGTGTGCACTACCACACCTGGCCCAACTTAATTTTTAATATTTAAACCAACTTGCCTTATTGGAATAAGTCCTAATCCAACTTGGTCATGATGTACTTATATATCACTAGATTGAATTTGCTAATATTTTGATTAGGATTTTTGCACCTGTGTTCATGTTTACAATTGGCCACCAATGTGTGTGTGTGTGTGTGTGTGTGTGTGTGTGATAATTCTCGTCAGATTTGAGTATCAAGGTGATACCTGATAAACTTGGGAATCATTCTCTCTTTTCTAGTTAATGGAGAGTTGAAGACATCAAGAGCTGGGCATGGTGGTGTATGCTTGTAATCTCAGCACTCAGGAGGCTGAGGCAGGAGGATTGCCACAAGTTTGAGGCTAGCCTGTGCTACACAGTGAGACCCTGTCTCAAAAGGAAAAATGCTGTATTCTGTCTGTTCCTCACCATCCTCCTCTCTTGTATTCCTGAACAGTTTAAACCAACAAGTATTAGGTAGGGTCAACCAAGAGAGCTTCCACAGCAGGTGGCCACAGAGGCCTGGTGGGTGTCCATGCAGGGGCTGCAATGGCTGTGAGCATGGAAGGAGAGTGTCCATGCCAGGTAGGGAGGGGACAGTGACATCCTGGCAGGGACCAGGGAAGTCTGATCAGCTGGCAGGAGCACAAGACAAGGGTGTGGCAGCCCATGGCACTGCTGAGCGGGAGACGGCCGGCTGTGACGCTGAGGGAGCCAAGTGTTTGTTGTGTAGGGGACCCGCTCGGCTTAGAGGCCAGAGAGCGGTGGTAGAGGGAAGAACGGGGTAGGAGCCCTGCAGAATGCAAAGTTCTTAAGCAGTGCCCAGCAGCTGCGAAGCACCTAACAAGGCTATGCCGTGGATATTGTCATGGGGCCTCCCTTCATGTATTTATTACTTTTGGGGCGGGGGGCTTGCTGGGGTCAGAACCTAGGACTGGCGCATGCTAGGCGAGCGCTGTACCACTGAGCTGCAGCCCTGGCCCGGCATGACTGTCCCTGTCCGCGTCACCACTGCCTGGCGCATCTGGAGAATAGGGAGGGCCGCCAGGCTCGCTCCTGCCCTCCTTACCCAGCCACTGCTCGGGCCTAGAGCTCACCTACCATGAGTACTGTGAAAATAACCAACTGGAAGAAAACGGGAAGAACTGTTGGTATACACAAGGAACCTGGGTGAATCCCAGAGAAATGAAAAAAAGGCAACCTCAGAAGTTTACAGCCTGAACAACAAAAGTTGCAAGCCATGTGACACATTTCTGTGACTTCTATACAGGGAAAGCCATAGTGATACTGGTGGAGAACGGATCGGTTCTTGCCCGGGGTTAGGAGTGAGGGAAGAGTGCAGTTCAAAGGGACAAAAGGAAAGGGTTTTTTGTTTGTTTGTTTTCTTTCTTTTTTTTTAAGATAGGGTCTCACTATGTAGCCCAGGCTGGCCTCAAACTTGTGGTGATCCTCCTGCCTCAGCCTCCTAAATGCTGGGATTACAGGTGTGCGCCACCATGCTTGGCTGAGAATGGGTGGGGGCAATAGAACTGTTACTAAAATTCATAGAACTGTTTTCCCCAGTCATTACTGTATGCTAAATTGTAAAAGCAAAAACAAAAAGTGCCTCAGAGGTCCGCTCACTGGCTTTTCCCCTCTTCGTGTCAGATCGGAGCTGGGGGGAGCATCATGGGGCTGAAGTTCAATCTTCTCAACAGCAACCAGTTCTACGCGTGCTCCATGGACGGAACAACAACGCTGCAGGACTTCGGAGGCAACACCATCCGGGTTTTTGCCAGAATTGACTGCTGCAAGTGAGTAGACTCCCTCTAAGCAGCCGGGGTCGGTCTGTGAGAAGATCTGGTCCTGCCTGGCACAGGGACGGAAGGAAAGGTTGCAGACACTTGCCAGCCTCCTGCCTCCCTCCAGGTGGCTGCACTAACCTCAGCCCGCAGGGTTTCTGCTTTGGGGAGGTGGTGTGGCAGGGCTTCAGCGCATCCGGAAGTCATGTGCATCTTAAATGAGACTTTGAGTCTCCTGGGACAGTCACCTGGGTGTTGGCCTAGAAAGCCCCTGGGATGTGTGGCACGCATGATGTCAAGACCTGGCCAGGGAGCTTGGATGTGTGGAACCGTCTTGTGGGAGCGGGTGGTAGGGACGTGCACGGAATCCGTCAGTTTGTGGTCTGGCCCGAGCCGCAGCTCTGACTGGTACAGACAAGAACCAGCACGGCTGTGGGGACCCAACTAGCTTGTGACAGTCACAGGAGCTATAAGGACAGGTGATGGGCAGTCCCCCACGTACTGACACTGGGGCAGAGGGCAGAGGTGGTGCATGTGGGTTGGAGGATTTCAGAGGAACAGTGAATCAGAGCGTTCCTGGCTAGGGGCCGGGATCCCCTCAAACGCACTTTTGGGATGTGTGTGCTTTTCCCGGACTGCTCAGAAGGGGGCAGACGTTCCTTTCTAGCCAGCTGTGGAGAACAGAACTGCACAGTTCCGCTTAGGTTTGTCATCTCCTTTGGCCCAAAGGGTGGAGAGGGATGGGAGAGAACATCGAGCAAGGCTTCCTCAGAACCAGGCTCCAGTGGGCAGGCTGGCCTTGGACTTGGGCTGTTGCCTGAGGCCGGGTTGCTTCCAGGATCAGTCATAGCCAAAGATGCTAGGCCGACAGGAATGGGTGCATTTCCGAGTCTCGTCATCCCTGTTCTCTCTCTCTGGACAGACGACAAGTCTGAGTGTTCCTCAGTGGGAATCCACAGCAAGACGATCACTCATGCGTTCGGCAAATACCTATTCAGTGCCTACTGTGGCCAGACGCTGGCGCAGCTGCAGTGAATAAACAGACCTGTTTCAGTCCCCGACGTCTCACAACAGTCTCTCCCTCCAGCGTCTGGTTCTGCAGCTTGGATGTGTCTGCCAGTAGCCGAGTGCTGGTCACAGGAGACAACATGGGCCACGTGATCCTGCTGAACACGGATGGCAAGGAGGTGCGCGCTCCACAGTCCAGGTCCCCTCTTCCCCCCTCACCCGCAGCCAGTTCTGATCCCACTGAACCAGGCTCTTCTCTGCAGCTTTGGAATCTCAGACTGCACAAAAAGAAAGTGACCCATGTGGCCCTGAACCCCTGCTGTGATTGGTTACTGGCCACAGCCTCTGTAGATCAAACCGTGAAACTCTGGGACCTGCGCCAGGTGAAAGGGAAGGACAGCTTCCTCTACTCACTGCCACACAGCCAGCCTGTCAACGCAGGTGCGTGACACCCGGCCTCGTCTCTACTGCGGACCCTGCCGGGCTCACCGAGCGGGGATTTTCCTCAAAGGTTAAGAGCCATGAAATGAAGCTGTACCCCGCTGGGGTCTGCCACGGCGCTGCCCGGGAACCTTGGGGGCTGTGGCTGTCCCCACGGGCTGCTGAGTTTCTAGAATTCTTGTTCATAGCCCAGATTCACCCTTTGCCTCCCACCCTCCCCTCCCCACCCGTGCCAGGCAGAGTGACAGGGGTTGGGGTTCCCCCGGCTTAGGGGCTTTCCACTCTGCCAGCCTGCTTCAGCCCTGACGGAGCCCGGCTGCTGACCACTGACCAGCGGAACGAGATCCGGGTTTACTCCGCCTCGCAGTGGGACCGCCCTGTGAGCGTGATCCCGCACCCACACCGCCACTTCCAGCACCTCACCCCCATCAAGGTGAGTGAGGCGGCCGGGGCTGCTCCGCAGACAGACCCTGCTGCCTGGTGGGGAGAGGGCAGTGAAGGTGAGCCTGCCCACCACCTACCCACCCGCCCGTGGCCCCAGACTGCTTCTCGCCCCAACGCCACAGTCTCAGCCATCGACTCAGTCCACTTGTTTTGGCCTCCTCCTGCAATTCCATTTGGAATTTTCTTAATCTAACAGTCTATTTTTCTGAGTCTTCTGGGCTCATCCCCGGCCACTTTCTGTGACTGTGACCCTCTGTCCTGTCCTCACGGTTCCTGTTCCCTGTATGCAGTTTGTCCACAAACTAACCTTCACCTTAGTTTGTCTTGCAGGTGTAGGTGGCTTCTAGTAATAGAAATAAGTCCCCTACCTCCCCAATTTGGATCTCCGAGTCCTCATTTGTAAAAAGGGAATAGTAGTGTCTAACTGGTAGGGTGGTCGTGACGATGATCAGTGCACTGAGAGCACTTGCACCATGCCTAGCACCGGTAAGTACTCAGTATGTGATGCTTAGCACCTCACATCAAACCGAGTTATAAACAATACCAAGAATCCTTTACTAGCCGGTGTTCTTGCTGATCAGCCTGTCCTCATCTCCCCTTGCATCCAGCCGGGCTAACTTCCCATCTGTGATTTGTTAGTGACCTATTCCCAATCCCCTGCATGCACCATCTCCTCCTTCCTGCTAGCCACATCCTTTGTCCATCACAAGTCCCTTGGGATCTGTTAGGAAAGTCACGGTGCAGTTCTGTCATTCCGATAACTGCCAGATTGGTTTTGAGTGGGGAAATGTGTTTTCTCTCCTTTTTTAGCACTAGTGATTTTATATTCCCCTCTAGCATATTCACAGGGTGTACTTCAGAACTTCTGCCATTAGGTTTTGGATAGCAGTTTTTGCTCTGTTGGAGGCTGATCTCTTGGGTTATGTGTGGGCCAGGCTGATGTTAAACATTATTTGGTATAAGCTCAGGAAATGCCAGAGAAAGAGGCCTGAAGGGGGAGGCCAGCTGGGATTATGAATTTTTATTGGCAGATGTCACATACAGTTGGAAACTATCCTTGTGGTTTCATGGTCTTATCTCCATTACTAAGTAGCTGGCTTGTTTTTTTGTTTTTTTTTGTCTTTTTGAGACAGGGTCTCACTATGCAGTTCAGGCTGGCCTTGAGCTCAAGATGTAGCCCAGGCTGTTCTTAAACTCACAACGATCCTCCTGCTTCAGCCTCCCGAGTGCTGGGGTTACAGGCGTGCACCACCACACCCGGCCGTAGCTGGCTTGTTAGTGGCAAAACATCCTTTTGTTGTTCCCTTTGACAGGGTTCCCTTGTGACCAACCTCTCTATCTCCTAGGCAACGTGGCATCCTCGGTACAACCTCATCGTTGTGGGCCGGTACCCAGATCCTAATTTCAAAAGTTGTGTTCCCTACGAGTCAAGGACTGTTGATGTGTTTGATGGAAACTCTGGGAAGCTGCTGTGTCAGCTCTATGACCCAGAATCTTCTGGTATCGTTTCGGTGAGATGTAGGCCCTCTCATGATGGGAAGAAATTGAGGTTCAACCCACTTCCTTGCTTAAGTGAGTTTGTATGTGTCCTGTCTCTGTCAGTACCTGCCAGCTTCCTCATGCTGATACCCTTGTCTCTGCAGCTCAATGAGTTCAACCCCATGGGAGACACACTGGCCTCAGCCATGGGTGAGTAGCAGCCGTGCATCTTGGACTGGCCAAGCCCGACCCTGCTCTCCAAGGTTCAGGGCAGTGTGAGGTCACCCAGGCAAGGTGATGGGGACACAGTGGTCTGTGGCCTAGGCCCTCATCATCTTGCTTTGGCTTGGTGGTAGCAATGCCCAGCTGCTGTACAGTAGCTCAGAGTTCCTTGCCAAGTGCTGGGCTCCCTGGGGCAGCCCCAAACCACCAGAGCCTGGCAGAGGGAGGGAGATGAACTCAGACTGTTCCTCCTCCTCCTCCCAGGTTACCACGTTCTCATCTGGAGCCAGGAGGAGGCTGGGCCATAGAAACAAAACAAGAGCCAGTGAAGAAAGTGTGGGCCACGTGGCAGCTTGGAGCCCTCACACGGGAACAAACTGAGAAGAGGCAGCTGTTTGTTAAAGGGGCAGAAGTGCCCAATGTTAGGCTTGGTGCGGGCACCGTGGCATGGGGCACTGGCTCTCCACTGCTGGGCACTTAGCTCCAAAAGCTTAGGGTGACCCCAGGTCGTATCCAGCTTGGAGCCAAAGTGGTTCTGTCCTTTCTGACTTGGTGGCAGAGTGATGAGTGTTTTAGTTTGTATGCACTACTGACATGACCAATAAAACCATACCAACCAGGCTGCTGAGTGACCTAGCGCTGCCCGGGTCGGAGGGCCCCGTGGGTCTCGGAGCTGAAGAACAGGCACAGAACCAGCACTCGTGAGCCAAAACTTCATTCTCCGGAAACTGCCATAGCCCTGTTCAGGGCCACGGTCAGGAGCAGTTCAGTTCCCCAACCCCAAGGTGGGGAAAGCAGGTTCCCGATTCAGTTGGGTTCGCTCCCTCCCACCTCCCCCAGCTCCCTCCCCGATGAAATCCAAACACCTCTCCGACCTGCTTAAACTCAGTTAACAACGGTGCTCGAAGCACGACGTCACACACGAATGGTGGCTTCTGCCAGACACAAGGCAGCTGGCTTGCTGGTTGTAGGACAATCCGATTCCTTGGTAGCCAACATTTATACCCCAGTGTTGTGCAGTTTTTCCCTCTAAAACGTGCATTGTGCAGTAGGACGATGTCCTGTTGAATTATGTGCCAAAACTCCAAACCAGAAGGGAGGGAAGGACATGGTGGAGAAGCGAGGCAGATCTGGCACTGACTCCTTCGGGGTTTTTATCCGAAATCCTGAGTGAGGTGAGCGCTGTGCACACCTCAGGTCCTCAGGGAGGATGGAAGATGCAATCCCGCCAGAGGAAGCCAACATCTGACGCAGTACCTGGTAGAAGTCAGCTAAGTGACAGGTGCCAAGGGCCACACTAAGCCCTGTTGCTCATCTGGGCTGGGGAGTCAGGGAGGCCCAACCCAGCCTCCTGTCCTTAAGCTGGGAGCAGCAACAGTCAAGAGTAGGGCCAGCCCACTTCCCTAGGCGGTGGCGGGAAGAGGGCCGAGTGGTTGTCAGGCGTGGTCCTCCCCATCGGCCACATGGCGGTAGCCCGGAGGCTGGGCCTGCGTCCGGAAGAGGACAGTGAGGAGCAGCACGATGAGAAGGAAGAGGATGGAGCCGCACACGGCCAAGGCCACAATCACCTCTGCACAGAGAGGGAGAGAGGACGTTAGGTTCACCCTGCAAGCACAGAGCTGCCGCTCCACACGGGTGCTGCTGTGACGAAGGGACAGACAGGTGGCCAGACAGTCTCTGCCCTGAGGAGCTTCCATTCTGGGAGAGGAGCGCCAACACACAAGTGAAGGACACGGTGGTGATGAATGCTATAAGCCGGGAAAGGTAGGTCAGCCAGGAAAGGCAGCACCCAAAAAGAGCCACGGCCTGGCGTCAGTGCGCGACACACAGACCTGAGAGCACAAGCTGGGCGTGGTGACACCCCCGTAATCCCAGCACCTGGAGGCTGTGACAGGATCACAAGTGGGATACAGCCAGGACAACTCAGAGACTAGTGAGACTCAGTCTCAAAATTAAAAAAAAAGAAAAAAAAGACTGAGGATGTGGCTCGGTGCAGCCCTGGTCTACACCCTAGAACCATAAAACAGAAACTAACAGCTCTAAGTGTGTGGGGGGTGGCTGTCGGGAAGCAGAAGCAAGAGGCCCTGGTTTGGGAATAACTTGCTGTGATCTAAGGTTGCAAGGAAGTCGGTGTCCCTGGGGCAAAGCAGGGGGCCTGGGGGGTCCGGGTAGAGAAACTGGGCTTCATTCTGCGTGGCGGGAAGCCACTGGGAGACTGAGGAGGACAGTGATGTGGCTGACTTAATGACCTCTGCTGCATTGGAAGACAAGCAGGGACAAGAAGAGAACCAGAGGGAACAGCAAGAGGCTCGTCGCAATTCAGACGGGAGCAGGACTGGCTTGGACCAGGAAGGCTAGTGCGTGCGATGCAGAGGCCGAGCTCACAGGATCTGGTAGTGGCTCGGATGTGGGGTAGGAGAGAGACGATGCCTCAGGCTTTGCTGCACCACTAGGTGACGGCTGCAGCACTGGCTGGACGGGCAGCTTCTGGAGAAACTCATGTTCTGTGAGTCAGCAAGTGCTCACTGGACGTCCACAGAGACGCTCTGAGTCAACAGCTGAGTACACGCGCGCAGCTCAGGGACGAGGCCGCGAGTCTGTGTCCTAATGCACAGAACTCGGGAAAGCAGGCAAGGGAGTTGCTTGGAAGTTAGGACGAAAAACAGAAGCCAAGAGAGTGGGATTTGGGGTTTTGTTTCTGCAGTCCTGGCAGTAGAGCCCAGGGCCTCGCACGTGCGCTGCCACTGAGGGGTACCCCCCCCCCCCCCGTTCCCCCGGAAGTGTCTGAGCAAGGAGTGATCAGTTCTGGCATGGTGCTGAAAGCAGGTAGAAGCTTCAAAGAACTGGTCACCTTGACAGGAGGGTGACAGAAGATGGGCATGTCAGGCTCAGAGAAGGAGTAGTGAGGAAGTGAAGCTAGTGTCCAGGCGACTCTTGGGAAGGAATCTACTCCCAAAGGGATCAGAGAAACAGCAGAGCTGGAAAAATGCGTCTTACGCCTTTGTTGGCTTTAGAATTGCTGTAATCAGCGGGGAAGGGGCCCCGGTGTTACAGGGCCACGGAGAAGAGGGGACAGTGACAGAGCTCCTACCAGCTGGTGGGCTGTGAGGAGAAGGCACTCTCTCCCTGCTGCTCTTACTCTCAGTGACACAGGAAGTGAGCAGATCACTTCCGGGTATGAAAAGGGGTCTCAGGGCAGAAGAGGGAACTGTCCGGCAAAACGGACAAGAGTGACAGCTCCCTCTGGACTTGGGGGTGGGAACTGAGCGCTGATCTGGACCCTGACGGGCAGAGGCAGGGGCACTCACCTGTGTCTGCAGTACTGCTTGCCAGCTGGCACTCCTGCTGCCAGTCCTTGGCTACAACGGGCTCTGTGAGGCGAAGGAAGTCCTGTAATGGGCACCGGTGAGGGCAGCCAGGCAGGAGTAGGGGCCAGGGGGCCTTCTTACTTTCATTCCGGAAGTACATCTCCACTGAGAAATTCCTGGGGCCGACAGAAGTGAGATGGACTGCTCACCATGCCTGCCACCCAGCCACGTGCCCGTGCCACTCCGGAGGACACCTTGCGGGCTCTACTTACCCACTGTCTTCCTGGTATAGTTCAAATATGTGGCAGGAAGCGTAGGGGGCTTGTGCACCGTTGTAGACATCCAGGGCCATTTGCAGAGCAACCAGGGTAGTGTCATGCTGGAAGGAAGAGCAGCTGCCCGTCAGCACTGCCCCCCACGCTCCAGAACTGGACAGAGGAGAAACCCGGCTCCCAGCTTGAGCTCCGAGCTTACCGCAGAGTAGACCAGCAGCTTAGGGAGTTCGGAGGTGGTTGCCATGAGGGTCAGGTTCTTCCGTATCTGAGCCAGCAGGACTCCTGGAGCAGAAAAGTCCCTGGTGTCAGTTGTGGCAGCCATTAACACCTTCCGGTCAACCAAAGTGCTCCTCACCCTGATAACCTGGGTCTGATCACAGCCCAGAGAACGTTTTCATTTCTTTTTTCAGTATTGAGGATTGAACCATGGCCTTCACACTGGGCTACATCTCCAGCCCTTTTTTACATTTTTATGAGACAAGATTTTGCTAAGTCACTAAGTTGCCTGGGCTGGGCTCAAAATTTTAATCCTCCTGCCTCAGCCTCCTGGTGCTGGGATTACAGGGGTGTGCCACCACTCCTGGCTCAGAATTTTAGGCTTGTGGGGACCATATTGGAACTCCACCCCACAGCCTGCTCTCTAAGTACTTTCAGATTTACAGAGGGAAGCAAAATAACACAGGTATCTACATTTAAACACAGATGTGGAAACCTGCCCGTTTATAAATAAGCCAGAAGGCCCTGCCCATATTTGATACTCCAGCATGGATCAAGATGGAAACTGAAGAGTACTTTACAACACACAGTGGTGGCTCCATGCCAGGGCAGCTGCCATGTGCAGGCTCTGAGAACACCAGCAGGGTCAGACTGACAGCTGGCACACCCTTGGGTGGCAGCTGGCAGCTGGCACCTGCACCCCTCTGCCTTCTTTACAAATGGCCCCATGGTTCTCCAAGGGAGGGATTCACTTAGGGAGGGTGCAGCTTAGGAATAAGTGGCGGAAAAGGAGCAGGTGGACCTGACTGTGATCACAGTAACACACGGGCTAAGTGTCAGGGGAGACTTGCATGACTAAAGCGGAAGTGGTTTTGTTTTTTTGTACTAAGTGAGCACTGAACCCAGGGCCTTTGCACTGAGCTACATTCCCAGCCCTTTTTATTTATTATTTTGAGTCCGAGTCTCGCTGAGTTGCTCAGGCTGGGCTCGAACTTCCACTCCTCTTGCCTCAACTTCCCAAAGTGCCAAGATGACAGGCGTGGCCCACCACACCCAGCGGAGTAGAGTTTTAGTACTTCAGGGTCCTGAGGAGAGGGGCGCCACGGTGCTCTCGCCACTCACCCCCCTGAAGCCGGGCCTTCGCTGCCTGCTCGTGGATGCCAAAGAGGAAGCGGAAGCTGAAGTCCTTTAGGTGGCTCAGGCGCTGCATGGTTTGGGGAGAGGCCCAGGGAGGCAGCAGGAGCCCGTGGGTTTGCTGTATGGCGCAGTGGGCAGGTTAGTTCCCAGGCCTAGGCCAGAGCCTCTCGGGGGCCTCTCCTCCACAGAGGGAAGGTGCCTGTGTGTGTGAGGGGGACAGGAGACAGAGGTGAGGCGTTGGGGCTCGGGGCAGTCGTGGTGGGTGGTAGCAGGCTCGGGGCACAGGAGAGGAAGCTCCGGACTGAAGAGCAAGATCAGCAGATAGGGCCTGACACCACGAGCTCGGGGCTAGCGGAGCAAGAACTGCTGACGACGAGCAAAGCACTTCCCACTCTGAGATTCTCTTCCCCACGGGGCAGTTCCTGGGTTTCACAAGCAGCTGCCTGCTGGGCACCCGGGCAGAGAGTGGCGCCCAGACACCATGCTGTACTGCCCTGAGATCTGGGCCTGGCGAGGGCAAAGAGCACGCGACCCCACAGGCACCCTAGTGGGCTCACCTCACAGAAGAGCGTGTCGTACACGTTCCACACAGTCTCCAGGGTCAAGTCGGCAAGCCCCGTCTCGTTGGCCACCATGGCCAGAAATTGCTACAGAAAAATGAATTGGGGGTCAGTCCCACCCCAGGCAAGGCACGGGGAGCCGGGCTCCAGCTCTACCCACTCACTGCGTTCTGGTCACTCTCATTCTGATACTCCGCTGTCTGCCGGGTCTCATTCTGCAGCTGCTCATAACGGGGACACGGGCCCAGCGGGAACTTCAGCAGCTGCAGACCAAAGGGAGAAAGAGGCAGAGAAGGAGTGTGGGGTGAGCAGGCCCAGGCCCACAGGGGTCCCCGTGTCATCTCCAGGGAATGGCTGGCCAGGCTTACCCTGTCCTCTGTGAGCGGCACAGTGTGTACGGGGATGGGCTGCCAGGAGATGTTAGGGTTGAAGCGCTGTGTCCCGTCAGGAGGGAAGAGTCCAGCCAGGTTGGCCTCTGCACTCATGAGCGTGCGGTCAAAGTCCGTGCTGCGCACATAAACCTGACAAGATGGCACAGGGAGGCTCACCCGTGTGTGTGTGTGTGGAGGGGTCCCCCATCGCTGCAGCCCCAGCACGCTGGAAACCCCCATGCATCGCGCCCACTCCCCTTCCCCAGGGTGAGAGAGAAGGAACAGAGAGTGGCTTGTAAAAATGGTGAACGGGAGGAACATGCTCAGGACAGAGCTGGGCCTCAAGGGAACAGTAACATGTAGACTCTGAGGACAGTCATGGCTGAGAGCAGGAACCAGTGCTACCCATACCCTAGGGTGAGAAGCGGACCTCAGGAACCAGCACACTTGCCAGCCTTCCTCGCTCCCCTTTATCTTGGTCCTGCCTAGCTTTTCATCTGACATTCCCACCGCACTCTCAGCTCCAGGAGGTCAGAGTGTATCTGTGTGGTGCTCTATTATATACAATGCACAAGCACAGGGCTTGGTCCTTAGTAGGTGCTCAATAAATGTTGTGGATGGGAAGCCTGTAATTTCGCAGTCAGAAAGTCCTTTGCCAAGCCTTTCCTTGAGTCTCGGTTGGATGCTTGATTGGTTTTGCCTTTTCCCATCTAAAGAGGGTCAGCTCAGCCTCCAGGGACACCCTCTGGATCTCTTGTTCTGGACACCTCTTGGATCTTGTCTTGTGACCAAAAAATGCAGGAGGGAGTCTGAAGTGTCCACCCTCTCACTGAGGCTCCCAAGGACAGTGGGTGATGACAACAGGCCCCATTCCTCTTGCCTCTTGACCTCCCAGCCTTACCTCTTGCCGGCGGTAAGAGGCATTTAGGAAGCCATGGTAGCGCTGCCGCAGAGCCTGGCCCAGCTCCCAGTGCTGCAGCATCCCTTCCTGTGGGCAAAGCCGACGTTAAGAGGGTCCGGGGAAGGGATGGCTCACATGCCCCAAAGGATTTAGACACTGTTTCTCTCTAAGTGGATCCCTGGCTGGAAGAAGGGTTAATGGGATCCCAGAAGTCATTTATTAAGTGGTCAGTTGTTCATGGCACTGTCCTGCACACAGAATATAAAGTTATAAATCTGGTCAGAGCTGGCTGGGGATGTAGCTCAATAGCAGAGTGTGTGCTCAGCATGCCTGAGGCCCTGGGTCCATCCCTAGCACCACAAACAATAACGACAACCACAAGATCTGGTCCAAGTTAGCACCCACGTGGGAAGTGACTGTTTAGGGGACACCAAGTTCTGTAGCTTGCTGCAGAGGTCACTCACTATTCAGCTCATCCTGAGGGTGGCTGGCACCAGACCCACCTTGGTTAGCTGACCGAACCCCTGGGGCCATTCCTCTTCCTGATGGGGGTCCTTGGGATATGTCTTCACTGGGGATCGGTCTCCATGTCGATATAGCTGAGGAAAGAAAACGGCTTGCCTAAGGCTGGAAGGGTCTCCTCTGCCCCCTGTTGGATTGGGAGCCTCACCCCTCTGGGAGGCCTTATTGTTACTCACTGCAAAAGATCCTGCTTTAGAAGTATCTTACCTTGGCTAAGAAATGTAACGGGAAGCCACAGGCAAAGCGAAACGCACAGGTGCGAGGGACTGTACAAGTAGTGAAGGCAATGCATGCGGTGGGGAAAACTGGGAAAAACATGCACTGATGTCATCTTGATGGGTGAATCTCTTCACCTTTTAACTACATCCCTGTCCCTGGGCAGACCTATCCCACCTGCCTTGATCTAGAACTCCTTACTCGGGTGCCTGACCCCCAGAATGGCCCAGGGCTCCACGTCGATGTTGAGCCCAGCCCCTCGAACTCCCCAGGCCAGGCGTCTCCTACACCAGCTCTTCCTCCTCGAGACCTCCGACCCCAGCACAAGCCCTGCCCCTCCCTCCACAAGCGGGCCTTTGCCCTTCGAGCACAGGCGAACCCTTTGGTGACCCCGTCACCCATTACCAAGGTAACAAAGCGCAGGCTCCGGGCCTGGGTGGGTGGCATCACCATCAGGTTCACGCCGAGAAGAAGCTGGAGAAGAGCTGCCTGGCTCCAGCCAGACCGTCTGCCCGCCATCACGGTTGTGGTCGGTGCAGCAAAGAGGCCGGAACGCACCGCCTCGCACCTGCTGCAGCCGCCCGGACGCACCCGTGAGGACACCAACGGAAGTGCGCTCGCCGCCATCTTTGTAAGGGAGGCGCTGGGGAAGGCGGAACCGGGGAGGGGAAAGGAGGAGGTTGGCAATTTGGCTGTAGCAGAGGAGTACGGAAATGTAGTGCACCTTGGCGTGGCAGAGAGGGCTTGAAGACCTCGACTTGGTAAAGAGGGCCCGAGGTGCGGCTTGCCTCTTCCCGTACCAAGGTGGTTTCCCCACGGCAGGGAGAAAGCGCGCCCCTCCGGCCGGTGTCGCTGGGCCGGGGTGGGGAAAAGCAGGGCGTCCGCCACGCCCCTGCCTCCGGGTCCAGTTGGAGCCTGGCCCTGGCCCTGTAGCCCAGGGGAGGGCCGGTTTGGGGTGCGGGGTAGATCGTGTGAAGGACCCTTTGGACTCCCTGTGTCCTTGAGCTTCGTCCCTTTTAGCCTACTTGCTCTCGTGCCCTCAGCAAAGCTTAAGTAACTAGTTCCTTCCCCCGTGCTCCCGCCCGTCGGCTGCCAAGTTTCAGTTAGAGTACGACGTCAGGCTTCTTCCCCAAGGATTTGGGGCGCACAGGATGTTCAGACTTCCCAGACCCAAAGCCTGAGTTCCCCAGGGAGAGCTTTCATGCCACGGAAGCGGTATTTCGGGGCCCGCACAGAACAGCGGAAGTCAGCGCGGTTTCCGCAGAATCAGCGGTCTGCTTGGCCTTCAGGTGCAGCCAGTTTGGCCTCAGGACTTTGAGCTCGGAGTGACGCACAGTTGGGGCCTTGGGACACTTGGATTCATATCCTCGCTCGCTAGAAACAAATGCACCTCAGCCCGTTGGCAAACAAAGCCGATCAGAGTTGTTATCTTGTTCAGGAACTCGAGATTCAGTTATCTGTGTGTACCTCACAGTCCGAATTTAGTTGTCCTGAAGGAAGCTAAGGAGTGAGTAGAACAGGGAGGCTGAGTAGCCAAGTCGTTTTTAATGGTATTAGTCATAAAAACTGTTGTGAATCATAGACATTTAGCCGTTTCTCTTTCAGAAAAGCACACTCATATAACGCACACAGGTAAACACACTCAATAAAATTTTGTTATAATCCCAGGAGTTTCCACAACCCTCCGTAGGTTTATAAATCAGACCTCTAAAATCCCAATTCGACCTAGTTCTCTCACTTTACAGGTTAGGAAACAAACGCAGAGAGAGATGATTTGTCCAAGCTCACACAATTTAGGGGAATAGGTTGAGATTGAAGTTTCCTGTCAATCTTTCCTTGCTGGCGGGTGCAACTGGGAATTCAACCCAGGACCTTTGCAGTGAGCTACATTCCTAACCCTTTGGCGTGTGGGCGGGGGTGCAGAGTTAGCCAGATTCTGCAGGCTGGGCTCGAACTTGCAGTCAGGTCTCAGCCTCCCACGGTGCTGGGATTACAGAGTGTGCCATGAAGCCTGGCCTCAGTCTTTGTAATGGGTTGTTGCTTGCAGACTGCCCACATTGCGTTACTCAACTATACCATTTTGGTAGCCTCCAATAAAAACATTTCCTGCCAAAGAAACTTTTCCCATTATTAAGATTGAATGGGGCATGACTAACAGGCAAACTATTACATATTAGTGCACTTCTTAGAGAATGTTTTGTTTTCATGTGACCCTTACTCTTCTTGCAAACTAGCCATGCCATTGTGCTTTCAGAATGTAAACCTTTAGCTCACCACATTTTAACAAGGAGAACAAAAATCTCTCAAGTTTGTGTTTTGCTTTTCTTCCTACTTGCTCAAATACATCTATGTCCTTTATGCTGGCAAGTGTCCCATGTAGGAGGGATGGATGAGGCAGATTTTATTTCAATTTTTATAGTGAGAAATGATTCCAGGATGGATGAGGATTTCAAGTAAGTGTTAGGGCTGGAGTTGAGCCTTCATTTCTGGGTTCCACAGCTTTCACATATTTTCTACCAGATGGTTCTATGCTCCTCAAACCTTAGTTCCAAAAGATGCAAAAAGAAAGATACAGATGCAAGAAGAAAAACAATATATATGGATGGCTGAATGGATACATGGGCCTAACCCAGTCCCAACAAATTGGTGTCTGGAGGTAAGGCTGAGTTTGGGAACTACCGCTGTACCCTAACTTGGCAGGCAAGTTAACTGTTCTTCCCATCTGGGGAGGCACTTTTATGTAATGGAGTGAGGTGGGATTTCATTTTGTTTGAGCTTGAGCTTTTTGTTTTGTTTAGTCTTTGTTGTTGTTTTGTTTTTTTTTTCCGGTACCGGGAATCGAACTCACAATGTTGCGCTTGCCAGGCAGACGCTGTGCCACTGAGCTAAATCCCCAGCGCCTTGTTTTGTCCTTATGAGACAGGGTTTAGTTATGTAGTTCAGGCTGGCCTTGAATTCACTTTTTTTTTGTCTTTTTGAGTTAGGGCCTCGCTATGCAGTTCAGGCTGGCCTTGAGCACACTTTGTAGCCCAGGTTGGTCTCAAACTTGTGACAATCCTCCTGCCTCAGCCTCCCAAGTGCTGGGATTACAGTCTTGCTCCACCATGCCTGGCCTGCGCTTGAGCTTTTGAATCAGCCTTATCTGTATTCAAATTTGATAGTTGTACCTTGCCAGTAACTGTCTCCTTGGATTTATTGTGAAGATGAGATAATACCCATAAAGATAAATTATAAGAAGAGCCTTTTCTTTATTTTCTTCTCTATCATCTCTGGACTTAGAGGTCTAGGAAGCAGGAATTCCTGGATTCTTCTTTGTCTTGAGGTTGAGAGGTTGAGCGAAAGCTACTTGAGTTTATACCTAGTGGTCTGCAAGGTGATCCCATACTTCCCTCAGAATGGGGCTGGAGGGAACAGGAAGCCCATGCCTGCAGACCTTAGCCTATGGCCTGCTTCACAGAAATGAGTACCTCAGGGAAGGGTCCCAGCAGTGCAAGTGACCATGGGCCAGCAAATACTCCTGTTCCTGCATCCTGGCTCCCTTTGCTGCCAGTAGAACCCTGTAGAGGTGGGGGAGAGTTCAGAAGTGTGACTTGGGAAGGAAATTCCCAACGGTGTTCCCAGAGAACTTGCCTCTAGTAGGAGCCAAGGACACACACGACGGGCACATTCTGGGCCTAACACCTGTCAGCTCATGGCACTGTGCCATGAGGGTGGGGCATGTCCAGCTGTGGATCACCTGATGGCTTGCCCGAGCTTGAGGTAGAAGTCCCAGTGGCTGGTCTCTGGTCTGTCCAACAGCACCTCGTTTTCCTCATTCCCTTCTCCCTCCCCCTCCCTGTAGGGGGCTCCCCAACCCTTGAAGCTGGCAACACCCCCACACCCAGGAGGCCAGGCTGGGCTGACTCCCAGCTTGGAACATTTTTTCCTGGATCTACTCGTTCAGCAGCTCGCTCTAGCCTGGCTCAGGCAGCTCTAGCTGGGGCTTGCGTGTGGCCCTGGGTCCCGGGAAGCCAAGCATCTGCGAGAGACTGGGGGTCAGGAGCGGGAGGCTTTCCTGAGCCCCCAGGAGATAAGTGGCCAGGCCCCAGACCAATGCTATGTCCCAAGTCCCTCAGAACCAGGTGCCTCGGGAATGTCTGTGACTGCCGCTGTGCTGGCGCCTGGACAGACAGGCAGCTGGGGCCCTGACGTGGGGCGGGGACAGAGCAGTTCCAGTCTGAGGTCCCTGGTGCCGCTTTCCCAGGACAGCTGGGGCCTGTGAAAACCAGGGAAGGGATATGTGAGAGGAACAGAGAGCCTTGTGCTCATGACTCAGGAACCCCCAAGCCAGGGTGGGGCCCGTGGGAGGGGACGGCCTTGTGAGGAGAGGAACAAGAGCAGGAGCCAGAGGCAGAAGTTTGAGATGGGGGCTGCTGTCAGAGGGGCTTTTGGGGAATGTGGAAGCAAGTGCATGGGCCGATTTCGCAACAGCCCCAGCCTGCTGTCTCCTCATGCCCCACTCGGCTTCCTTGTCTCTCACAGGCTCCGCTGCTGCCTCAGCTTTCCCACCCTACTCCCGGCCTGTGCCCCTGTCCCTACTGCCCTGGCCCTGCTCCCTCTCTTCTTTTCCCTGGTGCCCTGGTGCTCTCCCTCCGTCCTCCGTAGCTCCCTCTGGCTTCCTGCCCTGGCCCCTGTCCTGGGCCTTAACATGGGCCCATGGGAACTGGAGTTCACAGCAAAACAGGAAGAGCCCACGAGCAGGAAACTGGGAATGGGGCAGGGAGTGAACGGCCAGCAGTAACCTCGGCTCCTGCCTCCCGCATCTGGGCTGAAGCACCTTGTGGGCTCCACCTCTCCCTGCAGCCCCACCACCTGGCTCCTTCCATCGCAGCCTCGACGGGTCCAGCAGGCTGGACAGGCGACAAGACACAGACGTGCCAGATTCTGAGGCAGGAGGAAAGGAGCTCAGGGACTCAGTGGGGATGGGTGTGTGTGGTCTTGGGCAAGGCCTCTGCAGATGGAGTTCTTCGCCCTCCTTCTGCAGGCACTGCTGGGAGGACCACAGAGGTGGCAAGGGCTGGAGGACTCGGCTTAGCAGTGCACAGTCCAAGGTGATGGGGAGACCATAGCTTGGAAGGATTGGGAGAGATGACAACCACCACCAGATCTGGGATACTGTGTGCCACACGTGGGGTCCTGATGGGTTTGATTCTCACAGCCATCTTATGTTATTGTTGTTGCTGTTGTTGTGGAGGTTTTTTTGAGACAGGGTCTCACTATGCAGTCCAGCTTGCCTTGAACTGACCTGTAGCCAAGGCTGGCCTCAGACTCTCAGCAATCCTCCTGCCTCAGCCTCCAGAGTTCTGAGATTACAGAGATGGGCCACCACAGCTAGTTATTATTACTAACACTGTCATTATTGCCCCCATTTTAAAGATGGAGAGAGGCTCAGAAACATTAAGTAACTCACTGAAGGCTCTTGTTTTGTCGTTTAATTATTCATTCAACAGACAGGAGGGCAGAATCTAGTCTATTGTGGCTGCTGCGCCAGGTCCTGGGGTTTCGGGGGAGATAAAATAAACGAAGCCTGGTGTTTTGCCCCAGGGGTGGGTCTCATGGCTCAGGCATGGCTTTAGTCTCAGTGGAACCTGCCACAGCCTCAGGTGGGACTATTCCCAGAGCAGGCAACCTGTGTCCCTTTCCCGGTCCAGCCTGAGCTGGCCTTTGGGTGCTACCCTCCCCTGTCGCAGGCCTGCCATTGCTCAGAGCCCATTACCACCGTCCCCCTCTGCGGCACTGCAGGGCACCCACTCACAGACTCCCTGGAAGGCCCGGCACCTGCCTCTGCCCTTGGCTCTCTACCAGCCTGGCTGTGTCCTGGGGCTGCTGGGGAGAGCCTGGCCCCTTCCCAGGGGCAGGGGAGGAGGAGGCAGGCTGGGAACACAGGCCAGGCTCAGTGTCGCAATTCCGGGCAGTGCGAGACCTTTGCCCCGCGAGGTGTCTGTGGAGGGAGGGACACTGACTCCAGAGGCTGCCGGGATCGGGGTGCTTCCCACCGCCTAGGAAGCAGCCCTTCTGTAAAAGCGAGAGCCCAGGGTGAGGAGAGGGGAGAGACAAGAAGTCTTGCCAGTCTGCGTGGAACTGGACTGTCACGCTTGAGGGTAGGGGACTGGGTGGCGCCGGCAGAGGGGTTGGCCAGCTGGGGAGAAGTCAGCCTGGTGGGGAAGCTGGCCAGGAAGGAGAGGTGGCCCGACCCCTCGGTAGTCCCTCCCCTCGGCCTCTCCCCGCATTACTACTTCCCCGGCTCCAGGTCCCTCTGAGTTCAGCTCTAGTCGCCACCGCCACCGCAGGCTCAGCACAGGGCACTGCACCAGCCTCCCGTCCCAGCAAGGGGGCTCCAGAGACTGCGCAGCCAGAAGTCTGGTGGCCCAGGGACCTGGTGGGTCTGCTCAGCCCCACCCCGGGCTCTGCGTGCGTCAGGTCAGGTGCGCGGGCAGCTCCTGAGAACCTTAGAGAGGGGATCCTGGGAAAAGCCAGGGTGATAGTGATGGGATGGGAGCCGAGGGCGGGGGGGACAGAGTTCTGTTAGGTCGCAGAGGGACTCCTGAAGGGCCCAAGGGAGGCGGTCGTGCATGTCTGTTTGGGAGACACTTGGAGCAAGAGATTGGTGCTGCAGCCCCAGGAGGCAGCCGGACGGAGGTTCTGACCAAGCCGCCTGTCTGTCCTGGTAGAGTGAACGTCCATCCTGTTTCAGGGGGCTGCTCTACTTTGGCTCTCCCCAGTGCTGGCGAGAGGAAAGGGGTCCAACCGTTCCCTGATGGCCCAAGTGGGGTTTGGAACAGAAAGTGGCATGGGTGGCAGAGAGCTCAACTTTGGAGCCAAAGAGATGGGGTTGGGGGTCTCAGCTCCACTGTTGCCTGACGGTGTGGCCGAGGGCAATGTGCTTAATCTCCTCAAGCCTCAGTTTCCTCCACTATAAAGTGGCTTATGAATAATCATGACAGAGAGGATCGCAAGTCTGAGGCCAACCTGAGCAACTTAGAGAAACCCTGTCTCAAAAGTAAAAGGGCTGGGGCTGGGGATTTAGCTCAGCGGCACAGCACCTGCTTGGCAAGCGTGAGGTCGTGAGTTCGATTCCCAGTACCGGAAAAAAAAAAAAAAGTAAAAAGGGCTAATTGAGTACTTGCCTCACATGTGCAAGGTCCTGGATTTGATCCCCAAGTGTCACCTAAAAAATAACATCCTGATCCCAGAGGGATATTACGCGGAAGGATGTATGTACATCTCAGCACGAGCTAGTATGTGGCAGTTCAGAGTGAGCACTGTAAAGTCAGGAGCGGGACAAAGCATGTAATTTGGCTTGTTCCTGCAGGACAGTGCTTTGGTAATGTCCAGGGCTCCAGGAAGAGATGTCCTTGTGGCTGGAGGCCCCTGTGCCTGGTAAGTGTCCCGTGTGCCCAGCCTCCAGCTCCTCTCCTCCCTCGGGACCCGGCTCCTTCCTGCTGCATTGCGCCCTCCTCAGAGAGCAGTGCACAGCTGCTCTTGGTCTTGCTTGCCCCCTGCCCAGACCACCCATGCCCTGGATCTGGTGCCCAGCCCTTGCAAGCTCCTACCCTGGAAGAACTGGCATGTCTAGGGCTTACCCAGCCCTGGCTTGGGAGAGCTCTGATCTCTGAACTGGATGCCTCGAAGGGGGCAAAGGTTAACACTTTCATTTAAGCTCTTGACATGCAAGGGTCTCCAGCTGACCAGTCCTAGAGCCGCAGAACCCAGGCATCCTGGAGCAGGAGCTGGGGCTTGGCTGCCCTCTAAGGGTGGAGAGCACTTCGCAGTTTCCCAGCCAGGGTGTCATCGTGGGAGGGATCCTGAGACTTCCCTGTGCCTCTCTTTTGGGGTCAGACTCTGCAATAGAGCTGTGGGAGCCAGAGGCCCTGGATGCCAGTGGCCGGGCCCAGGGAGGCAGCAGCTGCATCCTCAGCAAGAGAGCCAGGATGCCCCCATCTGCTGGGGACACTATGGTGATGGGACTGGAGGCAGCGGAGCCCGCGGCCCTACTCCCCAGGGTGGAGGCTCTGCCAGAGCCCACAGGTGAGGAGCTTCTGGATTCAGAGGAGGTCGGGGCTCCCTGGATCTTGGGGGGACACCTTGGGGTCCTGACCTTATAATACAGTTAAATCCAAACACTTTGGGGTAACTAGACCTAAGTCATCAGAGCATGAGTTTTGTTTCTTCCTTAGTCTTTTCTGAGTATCCGTTTTCCTCTCTTGTAAATAGAATTAATAATTACAGTTGCTATAAGGGTCAGTGTATTGTGAAGGGCTCCTACAGCACCTTCGCCTTCGGTGAATGGCAGCTACTGGTCTTTCCCGGGAGTAAAGAGACAGAGCCACGTGTGGTGGTCTATACCTGTGGTCCCAGCTACTTGGCAGGCCAAGGTGGGAGGGAAGTGATCCTTGAGTCCAGGAGTTTGAGGACAGCCTAACCCTATCTCAGAAAAAAAGAAGAGAGAGACTAGATATCATGAAGAGAATGAAGGCCCCTGAGCGCCCACCACAGTGACCAAGTCGGGGAGAACATGAAGGCTCTTCCCTGACTCCAGAGCTCCGACCACAAAAGCGGAAAAAGGGGCCGGCCCCCAAGATGCTGGGCCACGAGCTGTGCAGCGTGTGTGGGGACAAGGCCTCCGGCTTCCACTACAACGTGCTGAGCTGCGAGGGCTGCAAGGGATTCTTCCGCCGCAGTGTCATCAAGGGGGCGCGCTACGTGTGCCACGGCGGTGGCCACTGCCCCATGGACACCTACATGCGACGCAAGTGCCAGGAGTGTCGGCTTCGCAAGTGCCGCCAGGCGGGCATGCGGGAAGAGTGTGAGTGTCTCGGGCAGGAACCGGGGAGAGGCTGGCGGAGAGAAGGGGGTACCTGTGCCCGCCAGGACTTCCAGCTCCTGAAGGCGGGTTTAGATCTCTTCCTTGATTTTGCCCAACCTTTCTGAAGCCTCATGCCACCCCCTGTGCCCCGTCCTTGCTTCCTGTGCTCACACTGGGCCCTGCCCCTAGGTGTCCTGTCAGAGGAACAGATCCGCCTGAAGAAACTGAAGCGGCAAGAGGAGGAACAGGCTCAGGCCACCTCTGCGCCCCCGAGGGCTGCTTCACCCCCGCAGGTGCTGCCCCAGCTCAGCCCGGAGCAGCTGGGCATGATCGAGAAGCTGGTCACTGCCCAGCAGCAGTGTAACAAGCGCTCCTTTTCTGACCGGCTTCGAGTCACGGTACTGGACAGGTCGGGGAGCGGAGGCTGTGCCCAGCCCTGCGTGGCCTCCTGGAGCCCGACTCTAAGCAGTTTGCCCCTCCCTCCTCGCCCTCCTGGGTAGCCCTGGCCCGTGGCCCCAGATCCCCAGAGCCGGGAGGCCCGGCAGCAGCGCTTCGCCCACTTTACGGAGCTGGCTATCGTGTCTGTGCAAGAGATCGTTGACTTTGCCAAACAGCTCCCCGGCTTCCTGCAGCTCAGCCAGGAGGACCAGATCGCCCTGCTGAAGACTTCCGCTATCGAGGTGGCTGCAAAGGTGGAGGGAAGGAGGCACATCAGAGAGGGTTGGAGGAGCCCAGGCCACTGGGAGGCAGGGACAGGGACTCAAGTTGCCCTCAAGGACCGTGCACCAAGACCGCCCCTCCTCACCCCGCAGGTGATGCTTCTGGAAACATCCCGGAGGTACAACCCTGGGAGCGAGAGCATCACCTTCCTCAAGGATTTCAGTTATAATCGGGAAGACTTTGCTAAAGCAGGTAAGAGCTGAGGTCAGCAAGACCCTGGGCTGGATGGATGGACACTTTTGGTCCTGGATCCTGCCCTGGTCAGAGTCACAGGCCTCTGGGAGGGTGCCACTCATTTTTCCAAGGGAGGAAGCTGGAATGTTGATGGGCCTCTCCCAGCTGCTCCATAGACCCCTGGGGCCCTGCAGTGGGCCTGGCTGTTTTTAAACTGTGTTCCAAGGAACCTGTCGGGTTCGGGGGAGCCAGAGGACTGGCCTTCAGCCTTAGTTTAGCTAAACGAGAAGCTCCATTTAAATCTGTGTTCTGGGCTGGGGATTTAGCTCAGCGGCACAGCACCTGCCTGGCAAGCGCAAGGTTGTGAATCCGATTCCTGGTACCGAAAGAAAAAAAAAAATCTGTGTTCTGTGTTGTGGTTCTGCACAGCACGTTCCCTGAAGAGATCTTAAAGCTAGAAAAAAAAGCTCAGAAACCACTGCACCAAGCCTTTAGTGATCAAAATGAACAGGTCTTCTTCAGATGCGCCCTTTCACAATCATGAGGGCCAGTTGCTCCCCACTCTTTGGCCATGACTCAGGGAACTGGGGTTGAAACATGACAGTTGTGTCCAGACAGGCCAGCTGTGGGATAAGCGTGGACACTCCCGTCTTCCTCATGTACGTGCAGTGATTTCTCTAAGCACTGGTCCGTGTTGCTGCTGGCTGTCCGATGCTGGCACGGGACGAGGCAGAGGTTTCCTCCTATCCAGCTGCTGGTCATTTTTGTGTTGGGGAGCAGGGCTGGGAAAGGCTGGAAGGCTGCGGAGTCTGGGGAAGAACTGAGACCAAGTAGCTTAACAGCGGAGGAAGTGGGTCTGTGAAAGCAGCTTCACGCTACACTCCAGGGCCAGCAGAGCCTGGTGTGCAGGGTTGAGCTCCTAAAACCTTTCTGGTTTCAGGTGACTCGAGCAGCTCATGTGTCTCTTGTCCCCACATGGGCCACCCAATGAGCTTTCTAGGAAGGCCTCTCCCTTAACTGTTGGCCCATTACCTTTAGCTGTGCCTCGCGTGTTGGCTGAATGTGTGGTAGCTAACGGGAGTGACTTGATTACTTTTTTTTTTTTCTGGTACCAGGAATCGAACTCATGACCTTGCGCTTGCCAGGCAGGCGCTGTTCCACTGAGCTAAATCCCCAGCCCCTGACTTGATTACTTTATCCAGCTTTTTTAGGGGGAGGTGGGGGACATAGAGGGTTACGCCTAGGACCTTTGCACTAAGCCACATTCCCAGCCATTTTTTGTTTTTAGACAGGGTCTCGCTAAGTATCCAGCTTTAAAGTGATCCCAGTCCCCTATCTCTGCCAAACCACCTTTTGCCCCAGTGGTAATTGTCTCAGACCTTCCCTTTCTCCTCCTTCGGACGCCCTCCTTCCTCACCCTTTCCAGCTCTGAGATCTCTGTGTTCCTTCAGCACTGTGGACTTGTGCTGTGTGAGTCTGCACCTATTTATAGATGTCTTTATATAAGCAGTTTTTATGTCATTATGTTTGTCTTTCTCATTTCATCAATGAGGTCTTAGGAAAAAGGGACAGGGGCTCTTTTGTTTTTATCGTTTGGTTTTTTAAAATTTGTTTTCTTTGGTCTTCTTTTGCTTTGTTACTTTCTCCTCCAAGGGGTTCTATTTTTTCGAGCTTGATTTCTTTCTTTCTTTCTTTCCTTCCTTCCTTCATTCCTTTGTGACAGGGTCTTGCTGTGTAGCTCAGGCTGCCCATAAACTCACTGTATAGTCCAGGCTGGCTTCAAACTCGTAGCAGTCCTCCTGCTCAACCTCCAAGTGTTGGGATTACAGGTGTGCACCGCCACACATGACTCAGGCCTCCTTTCTGCCTGCCGTCTGGCATACACAGTGGATGACTAATGAGGGGGACCAATCCTTTTTAAGGGGTTCATCCAGTGAGCATCAGCAGAGCCTCATGGATGCACAGCCCCATTCTAGAACTTTCTCTGAATTTTTGTAGAAAGAGGCTGTGGGGCACATTTGGGAGGTTAAAACTTCACCAAGATATGCTTTATGAAATGGATCTTGCCCATGAAATGGATCAACACACAACACTTGATAACCATCAGGGTGAAAGTACAGGACGTGACTAACCGAGAAGCTTCAAATGGAAACGTAGCAGATGGTTGCTGAGAGAACTCTGAGAAAGCCTGAGAGCAGTGAGGGAGCAGAGACTTCCACAGAGTGGGGGACAAGTGCTCTCTGGGGGCACTGCGTCGGTCACGGTGTGTTGCATTTGAGACTTCTCTGTAAGGGCCAATGTTGTCAGCTTTTTAAAAAAACATGGTAGATACCACATCTGCCAAGTAATTTATGCTAAAGGCTCCATGAGGTAGGTGCTATTCTCATCTCCATACTATGAGTGGAAAAACCAAGCCCAGAGGGGTTAGTGACTTGCCTAAGGTCACACAGCCGAGTAAACAGCAGAGTCAGAACTGGCATCAGAGCCTACACCCTCTGCCACCTTGCTGTATTCCCCCTGGGATATGATGCAGGCAGTGGGTCCCTTCAGATAAGTAAGGCCATTTGCCAGCACAAGGGCTTATCTTGAACAAAAATAAGAGATGCTTCTATTTTTTAATTCTGTTTCTATTTCTGGAACCCTCACGAATTATAATAGAATATTTTTAAATTCAGCATCTCCAGTGCTAAGCACTCTGCACGATTTATCATTGAACCACTGCAACAGTCTCATGAGGTACGTTCAGCTGTGAGGTTCAGAGAGGTTAAGAAACTTGCAGAAAGCCCTGTTAAGAAACCCAGCAGAGCCCTGGAGACTGCTAGGTGAGTTCCTAGCCCTTCTTCAAGTTAGGAGCTGGAAGTTCCTGCCGCTGCTGTCATGTGCCTCAGCCTCCCGCCTCCCTCCCCAGGGCTGCAGGTGGAGTTCATCAACCCCATCTTCGAGTTCTCCAGAGCCATGAATGAGCTGCAGCTCAACGATGCGGAGTTCGCTCTGCTCATTGCCATCAGCATCTTCTCTGCAGGTGCTCAAGCGGGGCCAGAGGGAAACCCAGCAAGACATGCGCGCTCTCTCCAGGCGCACGTGGGCCGGTGGGGCAGGAGTGTTGCGCGTGGAGGCCCTGGCTGGGCTATTTGGGAGGGGAGCGGCAGGCCGGGACACATGCCTATTTGGGGGCTGTGACTGGGATATGGAACTAAAACCCTGGCCAGACCTGCTCCTCCACTCTGTTGGTGACCTATAGACCGACCCAACGTGCAAGACCAGCTGCAAGTAGAGAAGCTGCAGCACACATACGTCGAGGCCCTGCATGCCTATGTCTCCATCCACCACCCCCACGTGAGTGTCCCGCAGCTATCTTTTCCCTCTGCTCCACAGCCACTCTGTCTCACCTACTTGACTTCCAGATACCCTCTGCCTACACCCACCTTGGTCAAGTCTACCTCCGCCACCGCTCCCCTGCCTGCCCCAGACCCCTTCCCAGCTGAGAGGCACAGGCTGGACCCGGCCCTCTCCCTCCCCCAGGACCGGCTCATGTTCCCGCGGATGCTGATGAAACTGGTGAGCCTGCGCACACTGAGCAGCGTCCACTCGGAGCAAGTGTTCGCCCTGCGTCTGCAGGACAAGAAGCTGCCCCCGCTGCTCTCAGAGATCTGGGATGTACACGAGTGACCGTCCGCTAGAGGCGGAGCAGAGCAAGAAGGACAAACATTCCCGGAGCTGGGGCAGGAAATCCTCCGTGGCATTAAAGGAACGCCAAAGGGTTGGGGGTTTTGTGCCTGCTGGGCCCTGGGCCCTGCTAAAGCTGCGCTCCACGTGAAGACCTCCTGCCCGGCTGAATGACAGACCTGGGGGCCGCTATGCACGGGGTTCTCCAGGGTTAGCCCTGCCCATCCTGCCTCTACCACTTCCTGTTTTTCCCCACAGGGCCCCAAAAGAAATTCTCCACTGTCACTTTGCGGGTTAGCCCTAAATGCCTCGAGGCTGCCACACTGATAGGTCTGGCCTGTTGGAACAGGAAGGTGCAGACGAGTGCAAGCCAATTCCTGGACGGGGTGGGGGTGGGGGCGAGTGAGGAGGAGGAGGGCGGCGTCCTGCAGGATCCGCTGTCTCCAGACTCAGTAGAGGGAAAGCCACAAGTGACAGCCATGGCAGCCAGGTGGCGGGGGGCTCCTTTTCCTAGCCCGGTGGTGCCATACAAATTGATGAAAATGCTGAGGCGTAGGCGCCCCTCTCCTCTTTAATGATCCGGTGGTTGTGTGTATAATGTCTTAGTTTTTCCGTTGGCATCTGAAAAAGGCACAACGTGAAATAGGGCCAGGTAGTCCCTACTTCCGGCCCCCAACCCCTCTGGGTCAGGAAAAAAAAACCCCAAGCTAGGCGAGGCCGCCTGTGGAAGTGTTGAGGTCTCAAAGGCGTGAACTCCACTTCCCAGTGGGCGTCGCGGCGGCGGCCACGCCCCCTTCTGCGCGCGCGCTCGTGCAGGTGCTCCGGTGGCGCGCCTTCTCCTCTATGCACCCCTGCCGTCCAGAATTGGTAGGCGCAGACAGCGGGCGCCTCCAAACGGTTCGCGGGGGGGATCGAGGTGAGGTATGAGGAGCCGGCCGGAAAGTCTCAGGAGCAGTTTATCTTCAGAAGTCACTTTTGGATTAAACAACATTTCGTCTAAATAGACTCTATAATCGTGTCGAATTAAAGTATCTCTGCGCCACCTGAACAAAAGGTATTACCCTGGGTCCTCCCCTTGGCGTTCAGCGGCGCTGGGCTGGCCCAGCGCTCCGCTCCGTGTTCCCACTCCCACACGGCTAAGGTGCGCAGCCGCTCTTCTCGCGCTCGGCTCCACCTTTCGCGCACGGCTCGGTGCACCCCCCGGGGGTGGATGGTACGGCCCCGACCCCCTCGGGCTCCCCTCTCGCCCTGGGTCCGAGTGGTACGCGCCCCCCTGTGCAGACGCGGAACTGGCGCCCGGTGGCCTCGGCGCCGCACGGGGGAGCGACGGGCGGCCCGCTGCCTGCCGGAGGCAGTGCGGCAGTCCGGCGGGTCCCCGAGACGCGGGAGGCAGGTGGGTCTGCGAGTAGGGGGCCCTGGACGGGTACGAGGGAACCCCGGGAGGGGGCGCGCTCAGAGGAAGAGGGGCTCGCGGAGGAGCGAGGGGGCGTGGAAGGTCGGCGGAGGAAGGGGCTCAGCTCGGCTCCGTCCCCGGGCGGGCGCGCGGCGCGGGTTGTGGCGGGGGCGGGGAACTGTCCAGCAGGTGAGGAGGTGGGCAGCCAGGGCCACCGGCTGCAGGCGGCACCGCGCCCGGAGGGCGTGTGGTGCGCGTGTGCACGGGCGTGCGCGCGTTTTGCGTGCGGCGCTGTGTTTGGGGTTAGGGTACAGAGGACCACATCTCGGGTTAGGGTATAGAGGACCATATTAATTTGGTGCTTCAAAGCTGATTCGAGTGGAGACACTGTGTCATCTTTCCTGGGACTGCTCCGCGGTCCATCCTCGGGCATATCGCTTCCTCCTCCTCCTTCTGCCCTCTCTTCTTTCTTCCCCGACCCTGCCCATCGCCGGCCTCATCGCTTGAGTTCTCCACGCTGAACCAGTCTGTGCTGATGAGCTTGCAAGGTCACTGCCTGGAGAGGGGGAGGAGGGACAGACAGCCTCCCGTGGTGCTCGCGTCAGCAAAGATGTCATATCGCACCCGGGTTCCTGTGGTTTTACTATGAGATGCTGCCCCAAGAAGGGACAGATCCAAAAGGGTGGTTAGCCTGGCCACCGTAGGCTGAAAAAAGGCATAGATAACGTAAAGGTCTGTAGATTTGAGATGTAGATGCTGATTTGAGACTTCAGAACAGTGGGCGTTTTGAGTTTGATGCTCTGGACTATATAGAGATAAGAGTCAGGGGCTTTGCATGCATTAAGTAAACCAGGGTCGAAGGAGGAGGCAGTCAGCCTGATTGGTTTTGATGACAGTGAGTTATAGGTGGTGTTAGAGGATTTTGATTCTTCCTGGAAATGGGAAAGGGAAAGAGGAGACAAGAAGAAAAGCCCTTCGTATCCTTGCAGTCTGAATAACTGAAGGTAATGGCTATGAATGAGATATAAATTGTGGCCAAAAAATGTGCCGTTTGTAGCTAGGAGAGTCACAAGATGGTGGGGTCCTTGTGGCTCTGGAGGAAGATGAGGATGGTAGAAAACATGATAATGAGTTTTGTCAGATAGTCCTCAGTGGAGAGGCGTTGGCATCCCAGGATAGAGAGGTCCCAGTGCCTAATTTTTTAGTAGGAGATGCCTCTGGCCTGATCGCTGAGATTTTAGCCAGAAAGCGCTCCTGGTTCTCAGTGTAGCCCTACATTTCAAGGTTTAGCCTAGAGCTCTGCTCCTATAAATTGTTTTACTTTAAGATACATTGGCTCTCACTTTAGGTATTTTCTATACAATCTTTTAATGGAACAAGTTATGTTTTCACCCATATCCCATCTCATTTCCCCGGTTCTCTCCCTTTTTTATTCTGGCCACATCCGTAATGGTGTCTCACATGACTCTAGCAGTTAGGAGAACAAGAGGACCGTTTGGGGTCATTAAACAAAGGTGATCCCAGAAATGAGTGAATGTGTGACATGCTCAGAAACCTGGTGGTGAGATGCTGCTATCAAAAGCCAGGATGGGGACCAAGTGCAAACTCGCGGCAGATGAGGGAGAAGGAACCTAGTTCTCAGTGGGTGCTGTGGTGGACAGGCAAATCCAGGTTTAGGGCCCCGGCTGACTCCGGAGTAGAAGCCGATAGCACTGTGTGGTCACCAGGGAGAGGAGGGGCTGTGGCTCTGCTATAAATAGTGCTGGGTGCCTGAGTCGCTATGGAGACAACATTGAATCCTATTACCTGCCGGTCCTCTATTGGGAGCAAGGGAAAAGAGGGAGCAGTAGGCTGGGATACAAGAGGTGCTGCAAAGAGTTCTTGTTTGGTATTAAATAGGGGAGAGAAAAGACAGAACTTCTACTCACTATCTAAGTCAAATAGGACTTGTGTGCATATAAGTATGGGCGTGCACACAGCAGTAAGCAAGGGTGTGTGTGTGTGTGTGTGTGTGTGACTCTCTGGGAACAGTGTCTCAATGTGATCTTGCATGGAGCTTTGAGGCAAAATTCTGGAGCTCTGGAAATAGCCCCATAGTGGAATGAAACACTTTATTCAGAGAAATACATGTATAGGGAGATCTAGTAGGAAATAAGAGATAATTTCCTGCAAACTTTTCCTAATTCCAGGACTATAGTTTAGAAATTTCTCTGAGCTCCTCTCCCAGTCCTGGGAGGAATCCTAATATTTCTGTGCCTAATGCATAATGTCTGTAAGTTAGAGTGGGATGAACCCTCATGTGTATATCTGACCCAAAACTCTGCTCTTAGTTGCTGACTCCAGTCCCGAGACTGGGATAGAGAACTGTTTGTTCAGCACCAAGGGCAGAGCTAACAGCAGCAGCTGCTGAGACCCTTGCCTGAAGGGGGCGAAGAAGTGGTTCAGAGAGGCAGTTGGGACACAGGCGTTCTCCGTGCGACATCACCTGTACTAGACGGCCAGCTGTTGTAATTGTCCAGGTGCAATTAACTGGACAGTCTGTGTGGTAGCTCCTTGCCAAGTTGAATGCAGATTGTTGGAATAGGTTTCATCTAGACCTAGGTGGGCAGGTAATGCTGATTGAGTCTGGTGTGGTCCTGATCTTTCTTGGAGCGTTCTGAAAGTGACTAATTTGAACTCAGTCATGGTAACCAAGACGAAGTCATTTCCAGAGCAGAGCTCAGGGTCTAGGCTGGAAATGAGCTAGGTTGGTAGGGGTGGGGAGATGAACCATTATCTACCTATCCATCTGCCTATCTATGTATTTATTTGTATTTCCTGTGCTTGGAACTGAACTCAGGGCTTTGCACATGCTAACCAGTAACTCTACCACTGAGTTAAATCCATAGCTTCTTACCCTACTTCTTTTTTTCTTTTTTGTACTAGGGATTTAACCCAGGGCCTTTGTCCTGAGCAACACCCCCAGCCCTTTTTTTATTTTTCACTCTTGAGACAGGATCTTGTGAAGTTGCCCAGGCAGGGTTTGAACTTGTATGATCCTCCTGCCTCAGCCTCTTAGACCACTGGGATTATAGCCATGTGCCACCATGCCCGGTTTATTCTGCTTCTTGATATTTGACTCGGAGCTGATAAACCTACAGTGTGGGAAGGTGTCATGTTCTCCTATCTTTAGTAGGAGAGTCGAGGCCTCTGACCTGTGCTCCGGGCTGGGATGGAGTTGAGAAGGATGGTTCCCTTGGGTACAGCCGTGGATCTTATCAGTACATTTTTCCTACTAACCTTGGATTTTCAGATAATATCAGAATTCCTCCTGGGATCTCTGACTCCTTGCTTGAAGTTTCTCTGAAATGAACTGATGAACTGGAACCATGGTGCAAAAGAAGAAGTTCTGTCCTCGGTTACTTGACTATCTCGTGATTGTAGGTGCCAGGTAACTATGAAGAGACCATTCATTGCCTTACCTGGGATAGTCCCCAAACTGCGGTTGTTCTCCTTTCCTGTTTGCATGTGGCTGTGCCTGTCTCGTTCCTCTCCAGTATTTTACCCCAGTGAGAGCATCGAGGCCAGAAGGGAAAGCAGCACTGTGGGGTGGATTCAGAGTGTGAGTCTCAACAGAGGCAGAGCAAAACTCTGCTCCTAGTATCCTTGTGATTTTTTAGCACATACGCTCTTCATGCTTTCTCTGCCTACCTGCACTCTTCTGGTACTTCCTTAGCTTCCACACTTGGAGAGGTGCTAATCAGCTGCAGGTATTGGTGATTGCTGGCGTGGCGGAATTTTGGGGATGGGTGTCTTCGAAGTACTCACACTTCCCAGTTAGGCCCCTTTATCCAGAAGAGCATGTGGAGTTATACGCGCTGCCTGAAGTCACAGTTTGATAGGGGTGCTGTCCCTGCTGGCTGCTGACTGTCTCTGTCCTCTGTCCTCAGGCACCCAAGCAGTGACAGTGTAGCCCAGACGCCAGAGCTGCTGCGGCGCTACCCGCTGGAGGATCATGCCGAGTTCCCCCTGCCGCCGGATGTCGTGTTCTTCTGCCAGCCGGAGGGCTGCCTGAGCGTGCGGCAGCGGCGCATGAGCCTGCGGGATGATACCTCTTTCGTCTTCACCCTCACGGATAAGGACACTGGAGTCACACGTTATGGCATTTGTGTCAACTTCTACCGCTCCTTCCAGAAGCGGCTGCCTAAAGAGAAAGGGGAAGGCGCAGCGGGGTCCCGTGGGAAGGAAGGGACCCGTGCCGCTGGGGCCTCAGAAGAGGGGGCCCCCGAGAGCTCGGAGAGTGGCCCATCCCTGCAGCCCCCCAGTGCCGACTCCACCCCTGATGTGACCCAGTCTCCAAGGGCCAAGCGCCGGGCCAGGGGTGGCAGCCGGTCCCGCAACAGCACCCTGACGTCCCTGTGCGTGCTTAGCCACTACCCTTTCTTCTCCACCTTCCGCGAGTGTCTGTACACCCTCAAGCGACTTGTGGACTGCTGCAGCGAACGGCTGCTGGGCAAGAAGCTGGGCATCCCAAGAGGCGTCCAGAGGTGCGGGCTCCCAGCTGAGGGGGTGGGAAGCGCGTAGAGATGGCTGTGAGGGGCGGGGGACGTGTCCTCCATAGCCTGAGGG